GGGTTAATCTGCGCCGGTCAGTTCGGCCCGAGATGAACGTTCATCGCGACGGATTACGGGTAACGAGGGATTCACGTCGCGCGTGACGTGGCTTGGTAAAATATGCATTGCATCGGGCGAGGCAGCTGTGAGCAGCCGAGGGATTACCGGACGGCTGTGTAAAACGTAATTCATGATCGCGCCACAAGAAAACACCCCGCCGTCGCGTCGGCGAGAATAATGGGTGATTAGTGAAGCGCAGATCTAATAAGGCAAAATTTAACGCTGTATGCAACGCAAATCACGCTGTATCAATTAAATTCTCGTATACTCAAGCCTCGCGGAACGCGTTTAACGCGGCTGCAACGAATTACAGAGGGGAAAATAACGAAATCCGCGAAAGGAAATAAATTTATGTAGACGCGAAATTTTATATTTTATTCCACCTTTTATTGTTACAGCATGTTTGTGCTCGGGCAAGTTGTGCTTGGGCAATAATTCAGCACGTATAAAGTACGTTGAATATGATTTTACACAGACTCAAAAAAGAAACGGATAATCTAGTTAAAAATTCATAACTCTCCGCGCGACTTACAGTCGATTTGCATTTCAAATCATATATTTGAGGAGCGTCTTCGTTCTCTTAGAACGCGCTGAAAGAACTTCCTTTGACGGATTACGCGTGTCACGTCTCAAACGGCGAAGTAAAAAAAAAAGTTGCCAACCATATTTCGTTGCTTATTCTTGCAGTAACGTTAAAACCGCGAAATTCATAACGTTACCGTAGAAAAGTGCGCGTAGAAATCGCATTAATCTCCACAGTCACTTATCCGCTCGTATGAAACTTTCACGTATCATACAAGTTTATCTCGAGGGAGGACGCAGGGTTAATATTTCCCGTAATTTATTATCGTGACGGTGCAATAAGGGTGCGGAGGGCCGTGACCCTGGATCTTCGAAACCGTTCTCAAGTTCTCAAGCAAAACATGTAGTGGTGCAATTCGTATCTCTCCCCCTAAAAGACGACACCTTCGACAGAAGATGACCCCTGGGAATTTTCCTAGTCCATTTTCCTACGAACCGCTCTCTCACACGTTCGGAAAACGCGTCCAGCATATATGACAGCTATTTCTCTTTCAGGGAACATCCATCTTGCGCCAACTTCCAATAGAGATCGTGTGAGCCTTGTTAAAATTCAACATGAAACTTCAAGAAATATCTAACGATCGTTCGAAGAGTGTCTTTTAAAAATCATACATCATACAAAAAATCATACATCATAGAAAAAATGTCATCATACAAGGTACCATTGTACAAAAAAAAAAATACATTCGCGATGCGTGTCAAATTGCTACGTTGTCAAACTACTCGTAAATATTATAAATAATTATTATATGTTAAAATATCCGATTGTATCTGAGAGTATCCAGTCCAGGCACGTATCTGAAAATATAATTTGTAGTCCTAAGGTTAGAAGTATAAACTGAAAAAGTAAGGAAACCCATAGCGAATAGAAGTAGTACGAGTAAGCATATAAATCGGACGCAAGAAGGTCAAGATTTTCCTCAATCCCTACACTCGAGTACTTGGGATGATGACTGTGTCGCCCGTCCCGGGAGAGGTATGGCTTTGCAAGGTAAAAGGTAAAAAGCCATTTTACTTGGGACGAACGCGAAACAGGTTGGTGGAAAAAGTATCGAAAACTGTATCGTAGTAACTGTGTAACGTAGCCACGTTGCAATCCGACTTTGTGGATTATTCATGAGGAGCACGAAAAGATTTTTTCTTTTTACTCGACTTTCTCCAAACAGGTTCATCTGCTCACCTCTGTAAAATCCTGGTTAATCTCCAGCATTACGTACACGCGTTACAAGTTGATGCTTGGAGGAGGGTAATCAACGAAAAAGCAGCGTACTGACGCGACTTTTTTTTCATCGATCGCAATTGCTTGCAGTGTTCGTAATGAAATTCTAACGAGTTTCTCAACTACGTCGAATTTACGCTTGTAAATTTACGAGTACGTGCCGAAAATAGACGGCGTTAAATTAAAATCGTAAAAAAAATAAAATAAAATAAACAGCGCGGAATAAAATCTTAAATAATAAACGCTCTCGTCTCAGGTATCCAAGTTGGCGTTATATCGTAATAACGTGTACTTGGTCTTTAAATTAGAACACTGATATTAGCTCGGAGTTAAATCATGAGCGTTAAATGGAAATCCTCGTGCGATGCTACCAGACAAGGACCGAGGAGCGAAACCCTCGAGAGTCTCTGGAATTCAGATGCGTGTATCCGTGTACGCATTACAACCACGTCTTAGCGTTCATCTCTGAATTAACATTTGCGGGGGAGAGGGGGAGAGGGGCAAAAAGCACGTTGAGAAACGTCAAGGATATTTCCTTGATGTTTAATGACCCTCCTACGCCAGAAGCTCGGGCTCAGAGAATGAGACTTTGCTCCGTTATCTCTCTCTCTCTCTCTCTCTCTCTCTCTCTCTCTCTCTCACGCGCGTACGCTCTCGCTCTCTTTTACCTTTGGCGGCAACAATGTTCCTGCGAATTGCAACTGCCTGCTGCACGTATGCATTATACCTTGATACCTATCTACCTTGAAGCGAGATATACACGTACGTTTGAGGTCGAGATATGTCTTCCTATGTAAGACACGTCATTCGCATTTTCCAAAATCCGACGAGAACCTCAAACACACATTTTCGAGATATAGAATATTATCACTTCAAGAGATCGATATTATACATATTTATATTGAAAAGCATAAAAGTAAACACGTTTTACAAAAATAAAAATTACGATTGATATTGGAAACATATAGAACCCAATTTAAAATCGACAATATTTCATAAAATGATGTTTTATCACTCTGCCATTTTTCCTCCCCGAGGGAAAACGTATTTTATTTGAAAGACATTTTTCGACTTTCGTACGTCAATGTAAAGTCTCGTGAGCGCAAGAAGATAGTCCGCGTGAAATCGCGAAGGCAGAGGAAGAACAATAGGGACAGAAGTAAAAGCGGCGAGGGGAAGAAGTGACGTGGCGAGAGAAATGCGATCGAACCGTGGGACGAACTTCGTTCTGAACTTTATCTTTGAGAAGGGAATTGAAACGTACGGGATGTATGTACGGTAGCACGGAAACGAAAAACACTCGGCGTTCCCTTTCAGGTACGATCAAACTCGAATGCGATCAGGTCTCCACACGAAAGGCTGAAACCTCCATTCGAAGGAACAATAATCCGTGCCCGTGGCTTTTGCGCTTCAGCTGACATAGAAAGAAAAGAGTGGAAACGCGTGACTCGGCTCGCCTTATAGTTTGTATTAGGGACAAATTTTATTATCGATATTACGATCTTTACGACTGTAAGCGTCGTAAATGCGCTCGAAACGTCATCTCGGACGTAGACATTTGTCTTTGTGTTATATTATTCGCCGTTGGAAATACGGCCGCTGAACGGAGTGGCCGGTCGAAGTGGGTCACAGCGGGATGAAAAAAATGTTTCTTTGTCCATTAATTTCACTACCATCTTGTTCTGCTCCCCTAAGCGAAAACCTTCCCGACTTCCACGTCGCTTATGCAGCCACGACGACTCATAAATGTATTATTCTCTTCGCGAGTCGCATTAATGCGCATCAGTCAGGCGGAAAATTCTGACTAGAATTTTACCCGAAATTGCAAAGAGGTTCACTCCGACGTTTTAACGTTTTTTTTTCTCCCCTTTCCGCTTGAATATAAAATCAAATAAAAATCCATCCCACATTTGATATATTGTTATTTAGATCATTAGGGAATTTATGCGGAGGCTCGCATAACCATGATGGTCTTAAGTCTCCATCATTATTGTCATCATTATCCGTCCCTATCGTATTTCAACCGCTTGCCTACCGTGGCGAGCACGCACGTACCAAACTGTAAGGAATCTAAGTTACCGTAAAACCTCTGTTGTCGTGACGTCATATATTAAACGACTTTATCTCCCGGGACTGCTCAAGCGAGAACGTCGCTGACGAACAACGTCATCAGAGGGGAAGAGGGCGGGAGTGTAAAGACGGATTCGATCGCGATGACATTTGAAGAATCACCGTAATTTCACGAAGAAGGAGAAAAAGACTGCTATCCTGACGCCACGCGGCCGTGATTTGACCTTACGGTCGTCTCTCCCAAATAGCCTGACTACTGGATATTAGAAAATGGATTTCGCGCAACTGCTTTCATTGCTTTATTGCCCGGGCGACGCGAATCGACCTTCCTCTGCACGAACTTCCACTCGTCGAATTGTAGGAAGACACGCTCCACCAGCGGTTTCCATCTCCTTCCTCCCGGCACCAATCTTCGCTCACTTTCAGTAATACGAATTTTACGATTTGATCTACCTTTTTCTCTCTTTTCTCTCTCTCTCATGTATATATATTAGTACTAGTCGCCTTTGGCGGCTCTTAGAGCTCCAGCCATCCGGCGGTGCATCAGTCTCGCAAACACGATTTCACTATCGCGACTATGATATTATCGTTCGGTCTCGTTGCGTCCCCTTCGTATCTTCTTCGTTTGAGACATTTTTACTCGCGCACGCTCTCCGCTCTGTCTCGTCTCAGGGAAAAAAAGCTGACGCTGCCCGATCTAGTATCCCACGGTGCAGCCTGTCCTTATCATCCGGAGACTTTATCATGAAATTCACGTTGCCTCGAGATTCCGACATCGTAGACGCTCCACGTTTGCAACTCTCGGCTTGTAATTTTATTTTAATAAAAATAATAACATATTTCCGCATTCTAAGTGGATTGTTGGTTTTGTATCCACAGCAATCTTGTTCTTCACGAATAACATTTTTTGAAAAGAAGTTTTTAAAATAAAATATTTTACACTAATCATATCTTATTTTTTCATTTTTAATTTTTTCAATCAGATTAATTTAATTCATAATTAAAAATAATAATTGTTTTAATTAAACCGTTTTTACGACCAAATTCTTTATCAGTCGAATCAAAACTATTAATGCGTTTGTTTCAGGTACATGGCCATTGTCAATCCGCTGAAACCACGGATGGGGAAAAAGGCGACGCTATGCGTTGCAATCGTCATTTGGATCATCGGGACAATTCTATCTTTACCGATGCTACTTTTCCACACCACTTACACGCAGTACTTTATGAATGGCGAGGTCCGCGTCATCTGCTACAGTGATTGGCCGGACATGGACAACGATGGGCTTAGCTACTATGAATATTTGTAAGTCAAACCGCTTCAATAACATATTTGCAAAATTTATTTTCAAGTATCCATACATTTCCATATATCCATTTATTATATGTACATTTCCATATATCTTCTATTTGCATTCGCCTGCCTCTTTCGGGAAAATTTATTTCCCTAATCTAATCAATATGTAAATGTAAGGCTCCTTCGTTTCAATTTCGATCGCATACTGAGCAGTAGCGTGTTCAAGATCGTAAGTACTCTCCTCGCGAAGGTCTATTACACGTTCGCGTATACAACAACAAGTCACGGTAGTTAAATGTAATTGCCATTCGCAGTTTTTTTAAATATCGATAACGAGTCAAGCGAGTCACGAAAGAGATAAAAACGTCACTTTCTGAAGACCAATAAAAATGTCACCTCATATACACGGGCATATCCACGCAATTTTATCGTTTACAGTTTATGACTGTTAAACGATTGCGTTTGCCGGTCAGTTGGTTTGTTCTCTGCACATGAGTATTGCATATGCACACGCACACGATGTCTTTCGTTTCCCTTACGAAGCGTTTGCAGGATCTGATACCGCGACGAGAGAGCCGTGTGAAGTTGCTCCTCCCCCCCACTATTGAAAATCCACTAACGACCATTACCACTCGATTAGTGATTATTTGGTGGGATTTGGTAGTCCATTCTTGATGATTGGTAGTCAAGTTGTAAATAATAATATGAAAAAAGACATACGCGCGTGAAGTTAGCCCTTCCTTTCGCAAAATATGGTTTTCCAGACTACGTAAATAATCATAACTGTATAGGCATTCGTTTGGTGGTTGATTACTGACGTTTGATAGTCCATTCTCAATGATTGATAGTCAATATTGTAAATAATAATATAAAAAAAGAAAAACATACGCGCGTGAAGTTAGCCACTCCATTCGTAAAGTATGCGGCTCTCTAGACTGCGTAAGTAATCATTCGTTTGGTGGTTGCTTATTGACGTTTGATAGTCCCGATGATTGATAGTCAAAGTTGTAAATAATAATATAAAAAAAAAGATATATGCGCGTGAAGTTAGCCCCTCTTTTCGCAATATATAACTTTCCAGGTATAAGTAATCATAATTAAATGTAAGCATTTGTTTAGTGGTTGCGTACTAATGTTTTTTTTCATATTATTATTTACAACTTTGACTACCAATCATCGGAAATGGATTACCAAATACTAAGAAACGACCACCACAATCGAGTGGGAATAATCGTTAGTGGATTTTCAGTAGTGGGGAGGGCCAACTTCACACAGCTCGGCGAGAGAGACGAAAATCGAGCTAATAACACCTTGGATTCGGTGCATCGTAAATGTATCGCGTGTCTTCAAAATACTTACCCCAATCACGCGCGATTAAATCGAGCTTTGATCGGATTGTAATTACAGATGGGAATCTGAACTGTGCTCCACATTTGCGTCCCGCCACGATCCGTACGATCGTCCATTAAGATAAGGCAACGCGAAAACGTATACTCCGCCGAGATAACGTACTCGCACCGGGTGCCGTTTCCTAATTGAAAGATTCGGACGGTATACCCCGCGGGGCAACTTCGGCGCTTATCGTGCATAGCACGTCATGCAAAATCACGCACAGGCGACGCCCATGGTGGCCAGGTGAACTCTAATCCCGATATAAATGCCGTTTCGAACAGCCGTTGCCTAAAATAACTCACGTCGCTTAATCCAAGTTCACGCGATTCTATCAATCGTTCTATGTAATCTCGATCTAGCCCCAAGAATTTCGCCGACCCCGCGATTACGGAGATTCGTGTGTGCGACACGGAAGCTTTCCCATATTTCGCCTCTCGCCTCTCATATTTACTCATCGTGAAGCATAGAGGAGTGTCGTTTCGGAGAACGTTTTATCAATTGATCGATGTAAAAGCATCTACTAAATTGATCTTTCGAAACTTATCGAGATTATAAGCTTAATCGGACATCTTCCATCTGGATGTAGCAACGAGGTCATGCATATCGACAAATGATAGCATATAAAGAAACAGGAAAGAGAGAGAATTTATTGTTGCACGTAAAATTTACTATATAGGCCGCACCTTACAAAGGCGCAGTTTATAATGAAATTATATACGATAATATCCTATAATCATCATACAATGCTTCAAGCGTATTAAATTAATGAAGATTAATTACGGTCGTAAATTCTAAATTCGTCGAGATTACAATAATTATAAATTACAAAAATGAGTGAATAATATTGCTGCATATATAAATATGAAATATTTATCGACCTCAAGTTACTCTCTATACATAGTAAGTTATTGGAAAAAAAAGAAAAGTTGATTACAGAAAAAAAAATTTTTTTAAGAGGAGAAAAAAATTAAGAACAGGGATTATGTCTCAAATAAATTCTTCAAATTCATGGAAACCATAATCATCGTTATCAATTCACGTTAAATATATATCATTCCTGACAAGCCTTGTTTGTTTTTAGAAACGCGATTTTATATCAAATGCAATTTCGCATTTGAGTCAATCTATATTTATTGTCGTATAATAAGATTTTAGCTTATTTTTCCTTCTTAAAATTTTTTGAACGCATTTCCTTCTTTCGGTGCGAAACGGTTCCAGGCGTCATGCAATCTGATACTCGTGTAATCCTCAAGCGCAGCGAAAGCAAATTAATGTATAAATATCAGAATTATTATTGCGGCAAATAGTCGTTCATCGATTTCCTTGAAAATTCCGCTTCGCTACTGAATTTGCTCGTTCCACCACCATTAAACGTTGATGATTAAAGCTTTTACGTACCTCGACGGCTCGAAATCCGCGTAAAGTATTCTAAATCGGAATTACGCGAGTATAACCCGATGAATTCATGCACCGCTAGTTTTTATTCGTTCGGAAATCAACACCGGTTTTCCAAGCGTAACGCGGGCGCGGAATCGGAAATTTCGATTGTTGTATAATAGCTTGCGACGCCTCGTAATCTGATTGCATCGAACGCGATAATCCATTAATGAATTCATTACCGTTTGTTAATAATCCTAATGCAGAACGCGTTTTAACGTCCTCATCATCACAGTGAGCTAAATATGCTCCGTTAGAAAATTAACAGCTGTTAGCGTCGCTTTCGGATCATCATAATTACCGTAATTAATGCACGTAGATAGGATTAGTCGCAAAAATTGCGGCCGCGTGCTCTCGTCATGTGCGGCGTTAAAAACGCGCTCGAGATTTTTGCGTGGTAATTTAGTCAACGTGCTCCCTTAGCCTTTCAACGCAAATTAAAACTGATTGACTGCGCGAAAAAAAAATGACGATTACATTTTTTTTCTCTTTCCTTGAAATATCGTCCGCGCGATATTTTGTAATCTCGTAAACCCCCTTTTAAAATATTTCGCTCGCAATCTCTATCTCTACATCCCGCTCGACGGAAGTAATAACTTATGCGTGCGTTACGCGTAATTCGCTTAACTGTCCCCTACCCATAAATTACACCAAACACACCATCGTTATATATCCCGCTGCTAAAGGTTAACGGCAATTACGTGATTATCATTAGCCGCGTACGCGCCTACATGTAAATGATTACACACGGGTTTTCGCGTCGAATCAGCCCAGGCTCGCGGCTTAACTCGTCTGTGTCTGACTTGATAATGCGATCGTTGATACGCTTTCGTCGACTGCAAACAACACCCACCAGACGCGCACACACTCGCCGGTTCATTAGGTCTATAATATGTGCGCTAGCGTAATATATATCAGCTATACACCGTGATCGGCGTGCTTAATGTCCAGAGAATTCGCGGGCGCGCCCGTATTATTTTCGTTCGACGCGCTGAATCGGCGCACATTTGAGGCCGTGCGCTTTGTGAAAGCGGTTATGCGCCACGATATACTCCCCCTGTAGAACAAAAGCGTGCCGCGCGGGACCGCGATACCGCGTTATTTTCATTTTCCCTTTGAGCATCACGTGTCATCGCTTTCTCGCGCCATCCGATGGAAATTTATGTCGAAAGTGCCGCACACGGGCGTAACACCTGTGACTTCGTGAAATAGCTCGGCTCTGTAGCAAATTTGATTTGTCCAAACCACAAATTAGGTCGTACATACGCGCAATTGCGAAATATATAACCGCGTTCGCGAATGAATTTTGTAATTGACTCGTCAACGAATTACTCGCGCTCAACTGTAATTCTAAAATCGACATTTTAACGAAAAATCTGCGCGTAATCTATTTTCCTTTTGTTTGGATTTCCATTTGTAATTTCCAATTTCAAGAGACTGTAATGTAATTAAAGCGTAAATTACATTTCTGCTAAAGAAAAGTGAGATTAAGTGGAAAAATAAGATCTTTCCTGTCTGTTTAAGTTTCTTCTTAAAGCACAGAGGCTTTAATTCTTGATGTCAACTTAATAATGACCACCTTAAATACTCTCTCTAGCCGAAGAGAAAGATCTAGTTTATTCAAAGAATCTATAAAAAAAACTCGCGATTCCTAAGACGACTCGTAGACTAGATTTTTCTCGATATTGTGCCGCATAAATTTACTCTTGTGAGTGGGCGTTTAATTTATTTTCAGGTACAATGTTATCTTCATGATAATGACGTACTTTTTACCAATCGGATCCATGACGTTCACCTACGCCAGGGTCGGCCTGGAATTGTGGGGCTCGCAGAGCATCGGAGAGGCCACGGCTCGACAGCTCGAAAACATTCGGAGCAAACGGAGGGTATGTATAATATGAATTAATATCTGCGCATAGTTCAAACGCTGAAATCGCTTTCGTTCCAACGATCGAAAGGTGAATTTAATGCGGAAAAGCGTGAAGGCGTTTACGCGACACAAAAAGATTTTTCTCTCTCTGTTTCTTTCTTTCTGGTCTTTTTTTTTCGTTAATTCTCTCTTTCGTAATATTTGATCGGAAAGAAAAAGTAAACTTCGTCTCTTAATACTTCGCAAAGACGGGATAAATGTTAATAAACTTCATAAACTCGTGTTGGAATTTGTTGTAATATGCTCCTTGTGCTCGATGGCGTTGAAGTAATTAAAGTGCAGTGTCGCGGCTGCACTTGTAGCGTATTTACACGAAGCGATGCAACTAACAAAGTAATCCTGGGCACGCCCTTTATCTCTCTCTCTCTCTCTCTCTCTCTCTCTCTCTCTCTCTCTCTCTTTCTCTCTCTCTCACGCACACACACACCGGGACCTGGCCAAAACCGATGTACGAACTATCTCAATTAATTAAGTTTAGATGGAACTTCAGACAATTTCTGTTCACGTTCTAGTCTTCTGTTCGCTACGCGTGCGAAAAAGGAACATACACCGCGTGTGATTTCGTCTCCTCTATATACCTCCCTTGCAGGATACTAAATACAAATCGTAAATATCTAATATTCATAAAAGAAATTTCGCTATATCTGAACGTACAATTATTGCGAAAGTGTTCCACCGTTACTGGTCTGATTATCTCGACATATCAATGCAATGTCCGTTGAAAAATAGCGTTATACGCGTTACTGGCACATCGCGCGGCGAGGAGCTACCGATAGCGATCATATAATGCATTTCGCTCTCAGTCGTTTCGCTCTATCACACATACACACATACAGTTCGTATCTCATCAAAATCTCCGATCTTTTATTTCCTTTATATAATCTACGCGATTCTTATTATAAATTATTACAAGTTACTCGCGTTATAGCTCTCAGGAGAGAGCACGTAGCGTCCACGATTGGCGAGATGTTAGGAAGATTGCGACGCGTTGATAATTACAATAAATGATGTAAATCCGTACGACCGATTGTGTGTGTGTGCAAATGCGAGCAATGCCACATAATCGGGTAATATACGTACATCAAATTCAGAAGCACGCGGGGTAACGCATGCGAGCGGCATTAAGATTCGCGTGAAACGATAATATTCCGCAGCCTGATGATATTGGCCTTATCCGTCCCTCGTAAACTCGGCTTATCGGCTCTGTTTTAGTAGCCGCAGGGGGGGGGTCCCACGATTTTCTTTCCTTATGAATAACATCATCGATTCTCCAATATCATCCGCGCGGCAATGGAAACCGCGCTACACGCAAAACAAAAAAAATCCGAAATACGTCTCTGTCTTTTCTTATCTTAATGGCGCTATGGTAATTTTTATTGCCTGTATGATGAATGAACGGGTGCAGACGACTTTCGCAGACCGCAAAGATCCTTTATAGCTATAAAAGCAAGTACCTACTTGCCGCGCTGGTAGAAAAATGGCGGAATAGACGTACAGAATGTCCAGACAATTTTTTCAATGCACGACAGACCGATTGTGAAGTACACGAATTACTCATAAGAGTAAGAATAATAATGGTTAATAATCACGCGTGTCATATATTTTTCGTGGATATCTACAAGCCTTTAGGAGAGTCGTATCTCAATGTTAATGATAATTTCTTTCCCTCCTTCCTTCGTCCAGCGTGTCGCGTGCGAAACGAGAAAATATGATTACGCCGCGACACGGTGCTTCACTCGCTCGTGCAGCGCGCGAAGGTGTTTTGCTGAAAAACGTCTTCTCAATTAGTCTTAAACGCGATGTGCAACGACTATTTACGAGCTTAATGACGAGGCGAGGATTGCGAGTGTACGCGAGCCTTGCCTACCCAGAGGTTCCTCAGAGAGACGGCGAATCTAAAGCCCGGCCATAATTCGCAATTAGACGAGTCCGCACCCTCGCGGGCCCTCCATTTCCGACGCTTTGACTTTAACTCGTCCGACTACTTTCGGTCAATAAAGTTTGCGGGGGAGAAAGTTTCATCTATCCTCCACGGGCATCCATCCAACGCGGACGACGTGGGAGGCTTAGTTAATTTTTGGTTTTTCAGGAGAAAGAAAGAAAGAAAGGGAGAAAAAAGGGACGGGAGAAAAGAGCGGCCCGCGGGGCCGATGATCCCTTTGTTTCAAAGAAAAATATCCGTGTACTCTATCACGTACGCGATACGAGCAACGGATATCGATTGCCTACAAGCGTTTATTGCCTACAATCGTTTGTGATCTGCGTTCCGAACGGGGTTGAAAAACGATTAGATATAAGTCTCTATACCAACCGGCCAACGGCCAACGCCACTGCCACTATAGTTTGCTCTCGCAAAACGTTGCAGCTGCAACTTTTTAAATGGGACGCGATGAATTATGTGAAATGGTGATAAATGTAAGGAAATATCTTCATCACTTGCACGATAATATATAAAATGTCTATATGTATATTATATGTGTGATATAAGCGCAGTTAATGCTGAAATACTATCTAATCGAGGAGAACGATTGCGAAGAAGAGAATAAATGGAATGTGATTATCGGACATAAAAATGGACATCCTAAATGGACGTGTAATGAATTCGCAACGAAGCGGTCGATACGTGTGCAAGAAGGATGGTCGCATATTTCCTCGGACGTACTATAGAAGAGACTAAATCCGTAATTCGTCTCTAATACCAATTGCACATGCAATACTATGTGTATAAATTACAAACACGTGATACATTCCTAACGTATTCTCGTCAAAAAAATCTTCATAATATTTAGAAAACGTGTACAACATAAAGTACAACATCTGGTTCTGACGTTTAAATTAAAATTATTGATCAATCACTAAATTAAAATTTACGCGGTTGACAGATTTATAAATTTCTATATTCTTAAAAATTCAAAAGAAGTGTTTATTATCGGAAATTATTCAACGTGTGAGTTAAAAAGAAAAAGGTTGTGAAAAAGATTACACGACGTAATCGAGAATGTGTATCGATTTATATAGTTAACAAATTTGTCACTTTCTATATTCTTAAAAATTTTTAAGGGAATGTTTATGGGAGTGTTTATTATCAGAAATTATATAGCGTCAGTATGCGTTAAAAAGAAAAAGATTACGAAAAAGATGTAATCGAGAATATTGAGCGTGATTCGTGCCCGAACGAGTGTGATCGAGATGTGCGTTTCGGTCTTCTCGACTGTTGGCGCAAAATAGTAGTAGATATGTCGTGAAAGTCAGCCGAGAAACACACCGTTGTCTCACCCTCGAATTAATTTTTGTTATCCAAATCATGGCAGATTTTTGGTTTTCATAATGTGCGATAATCATCTATCAGTCGATAAATAAAAAAAATTTGAAAAACTTGTATCTTTTCTTCCCGCTATTTAATTTCTCAAGTCAAGCTGCGCGGTGATAGGACATAATACTTGCTATTCTCATTATTTCATGTTTTACATGTATTTTAAAATTACTATTAAAACCCGTATACATTCGATGAAATAGATAAATGAAATCGAGTCATTTATCCGTGCCATCGCATAACATGAAAAATGACTCGATCATTGATCTTGGACTGTATTAAACTAGTGTCTTGACGTGAACGTGGTAGAAAACATGAGAATTTCGTTTTTGTCTTGACTATTTCGAGACAAGCGATACAACGGCGAGAATAATATACGATCAACTGTCGCAAGTATCGTATCGTCCACATCTTTTCGAGAAGACGACTTATAAAATAAAATATGCAAGGTCTGTCAAAAGTGCATACCGTAAAACATCAAACCGTGCTCACGTTCATATTGGTTCTCTGTATTTGTTCTTGTTATACGCACTATAGCATGGACGTACAAAACACGTCGCGTTCCTTTCGTCTCATCGCGTCTCCCTAGCATAGTCGACGGAACGTATAAATGTAAAGCAAACAGCGCATACTGACTTCCCTGAAACCTGCATAGAACGTCTATTACAACGACGATAATTGTAGTAATTAATCATTGTAACAACCTTGCCTTTTCGATAAGAGTATATTTAAAGACGCCAAAGCGATGAATGAGACTGATAAAATTGCAAAACTCTGTGAAAAAAGAAAAGCCACGACTCAGCTTATCGGTTAAATTTTAATTTCTCAACTCTCTGACTTTACACTCTTAGTTGCTGATTTAGATTCCAATATTCCAAGTTTTTTTTGCTCATGCATATAAGAATGAGGTAATAGTTCAATTCTATTAATATTTTAATTTTAAATTTTATATGTAAAAGCAGTACTATATGAACCACGTGGAACGAGCAAGATTTAAAGTTTCATGTTACACAATTTGAGCAGCATATAATCGTAAACAATACACCACTCAATAAGTCTGTGTCAAATAATCAATAAAATCTCTAAATCTATAAAGCCCCATCTACCTAAGTCGCAAACGCACAACGCAATCGTAAACGCGGAGAAAAAAGATAAACGTCAAAAAAAAAAAAGAAAGAGAGAAACGTCCATGTTTGCGATTGCGTTTTGCGTTTGCGTTTTGCGTTTGCGACTTATGTAGATGGGCCTTAATGCGTTAAGAAACGAAAGGAAGAGATAACACACTTGCGTTTAATTAAAAGATATGCGTGGGGGAAGGAGCTACATATAGGATTATGTAACGCTGCAGCAGGAGAATCTAGTTAAACGAGGGCCTCCTCGGTATGTTCGAGTGGGAGTGCATTGGATTTCGATTAGACGACAAAAGGCGTCCGTTCCGTTATATTCCGCCACATCCGGAATCGCTGCTCCATTCCGTCGCAGCGTACGTATATATATCGACGCAACGTTCCGACCGCGGCGGACCGCCAATATACGCGCGCGCTCTGGTTACGGATCTCACGTCCGTTACAAAGCTTACCCGCGTGTACAAGTGCGGGTTTCGCTCCGTGTACGACGTGTGTGGACACAAACGGCCCGTATCTACAGGCAGACCGCAGCGTTACTGACAATTATCGCAATGAAAACGTTATGGCTTCATTTGACGGATATAACACGTATAATTCCTATTATCTCGTATTTACGTTCCCACGACGAGAGATACTCTTGAGATATATAAGCCTCTTCTCCTTTCACGATCTTCAGAAAGTTTCTCTCGTTAGATTTTGTTACAATTTACTCGAAAGCGAGAGAGAGTGCTTCGCTCGGCGCAATTCGGTTTAGTCAAATTACGCGAACGCCCACTGCGTTAGATTTACATACGAATGGAGCAAAGCCAAAGCCGCCGAACGCGAGCCTTCAGTCTCTCGCCTTTCATTATACGGCCGTTATATTTTCGTCGCGTTTCCCCACTAATTGTATAGATGCGCTCTTGAAAATTTTAAAAAAAGTTGCCCGTGGTGCGAAATTTTAAAATGCACGCAAAGTGCGGGGCGCGCGTGAAACATAAACCTGAGTAAAGTACTTAAACTCCTCGGAGTGTCGCTTTTAAACTTGAGGCATAAATATGTCTAGAGTACATTTACATGCACTTGCAATTCAGCAAGTATATATACTCCTCCTAATTGTAAAGTTACGTAAAACATCTTTTGTTTCGCGTACCTGTACAAATAGTTAAATTAAGCTTACTATAATAGACCTCATATATATAATTGTCATATGAATTTGATATCAAAATTAGATGAGATACTCACAATGAAATCTCACGTTTCCAAACAGAATGATTTAATGAGTAACATTTGAATGAGTAACATGAGAAATAAGTGTACATTAAATATTCCATTTCTCCTATTTCAAATTAATTATTAATACATGATCAATATATTCGATATAACGCAATTTCTCACTTTCCGAATAATTCAGCGAGTCGCGTTATTATTCCACGCTATCGCAAAACAATGGATAAATTATATTTAAAAGTTCAAAGCGCGATGAGAGGTTTATTTGAAATTTAAACATCGCTAGGTACGTCGCGTAATTGTCCGCAAAAAACATCTCAAAACAATAAATTATAAATTCGCGTTCTCTCTCGTTCGAATTTCTATACCGAATAGAATAAATCGCATGAAACTGTTTCCCGTTAATCATTTTTATATATGTTTATGAGATTCTAATTACGCGGATAAGTTTACTAAAGTACTATCATAAAGCGTTTTTTTTTAAACAGGAATTTTTCTTAAAAATCGATTATTCAACCGCGAGAAGGGGTAAAACTCAGGTTGTGTCTCACGACACAAACTTCATTTAAGTTCTTCAATTGAGTCGCGATTGCAAATACAACGATAACGAATACCAAATTAACTACTAGTTATTAAACCGTACCATGTTTCAGGACTGCTTTCCTGCCCAAGTTTTCTCAACAGAAATACGAACGGTATAAATACGGAGATCTTAATGCTCCGCACGCTTGCCGGAAACGAGAACGATAAGAATCCAATTTTGTGTCGTCCCTTTCGAACGTGTAGTGATAAACAAGTGGTCTCTAATTAATTCGTCGGTTGATAAAAACAGAAGAGATACTTATATAATATCCGAAATATTTGCGATACCTGTCTCGGTAAAATATATATTATGAAAAATGAATAATACCTCTTTTATGGTGGTTACATCGTTATATACATCTCCGCGGAGGGAAGATTTCTGAGATCGTGTCAAATGCGCTGGTGTATGAATGCCCGCGCTACTACAAGCCCGCGGGAACAATAGAGAAACTAACAGTGAGAGGCTGACGGTGAAGTCTGACATTTCGAGGAAGAAAAGGGATGTCGGGATAATGTGACCAGTCGTCGGGACACAAACACGCGCGGGCGAACTACTTCTCTTTGGCCTTAATTATACTTACCCAGCGGCGGCAGCGGCAGCAGCAGACTCCATTCTCTTTCCGGATAAGAAATCGGCAAATAGACGTCCCAGCCGTGGGCCGAATTGTATAAGATCGAATCCCCTGTTCCTCAATTATTTCGGAATGGCAACGGCGAGGGAGCAATTCTTCTGATTCCTTTAGCGGAAAAATCGGCACCGATAGCGATGAAGTATGCCGCCCACTAATTCCCTTCATTCCGACATTCCGGGTGGTCTTCCGGATGGTCGATTCTCCGGTTCCTTTCCTACAAAAAAATGCAATTATACACAAATTAGTCGTTTCTTAATTCCAAAATAACATATCTTTTTTCATTCAGTAATATTTCAAAACGAGAGGTTTATGCAATTTTATGTTACGCAAAATAAATTCTTTTTTACTTTGTTCATTTATTTATCTATTGAACAGTTTGGCGGATTAAAAAAGAAAGTGTGAAAGAGAATATATAATACAAAAAAAAGGAAAAAGAGAAAAAATAAATTATACAAGACAGGGCTACTCAAAATTCATTGCCGCGAATAAAACGCCGGTGCGATTATCGTGGATTTTTCGAGCAAGAGAGAAAAATGCAAATTCTTATCCGACTTCGTAGAGAACGTAGCATAGAGAAGCAACAAAAATGCGCTCCGGATGTATCTCAAAGCTTTACAAACACTTGCCGAAGGTCGGGTATAAATATTCGGAGGAAAATATCACAGTCCGCTGCGCTAAAGCGATTTTTCCAAAGTGCTTACACTGAAATGCCAAAGCCATTCTCTTTGAATACGAATTGATGAGCGGTATTCACTGTTGTAAATTGTAATCGAATCAGTCGCTGGATCCACATTGTGCACCTAATGCAAATCGCGTAACCACACTTACCGGCGTGGGGGGGGGGGGGAGGGAAATATTAATCTACTTTTTAATTATCTAAGGAAGATAATGAAGTACAGCTCGTAACTATCTCGAGAAATCCAATTTAAGTTATTTCTCAAATAGCCGCTCTCTCTCCTACAAGCTGTCCTCGACTGATTACGAGAACTATACCTGCGCGAAGTTGAGTAGGTCGTTAATTTCAACGAAAAGGAGAATCCCTCTTCGGAACAGACAAAAGCGTAGTATAACGCGGAAGAGAAGGTAAGACGAAATTGAATTTCACGATAATAGTAAAAACGACGGAGAAATCGATAGGTTACAAGCACTTTGTTATCGTGGATTTAATCACCCGTAAGAATTCCTTGCAGAAAAATGGCATATTCAAAGAAGCATTTATTCGCAATAAATTACCGATCGAAACTGGCCAAGATGGAAACTGTGCGTGACGCACAAACAATCGGTAGCTTTATTTTCATGCTGCGCATCCAGTAATTAGTCGCATTATTTCGATGCGCGTTCCACGGAATATTAAATACGGGAAACCCCCTCTCGTTACTCGAGGAAATCCTCATTCGCAGCGCGGGGATGCTCCCGCGAGTCGAATCTAACAGGTGTTTTCATTAAAATCATCGGTAATTTGGCGGCATAAAATCATATGTTACATATTTGTGTATAAATATATTTATACATCTATAATATAAAATAATTATGATCATTTGCATATTAATTATCAGAATGTAATCTTCTATTCAATCAAATATGAAACATATGAGCTGATTATTCTCTTATTATATAATATATTGTTCAAACAATACAATTAAAAAACAGCAATGTATTGTTTCTAATTATTTAACGCAATTTATACGGAGAAATCTTGACGTACAATGTGAAGGAGAATTTATAAACGTAAGTTTAAACCATATGATAAGTTTAAAGCATATTTTTGTGATTGCTCCGTTATAAAAATGCACATTAACGTAAATTTCTTTTGCTCGATAAAATTGTTAAGGTAACTGAAAGCAATGCCCCCGCTTTCTTTGCCTTTATCGGAAAAGAACTAACTCTCCATAGTGATTTAATCGTGGAGAAACGACCGGTCTTTTATATCTTGACTGATACGAATTTTCTTTACATTTCAGGTCGTAAAAATGATGATAGTCGTAGTAGTAATATTCGCGGTGTGCTGGCTTCCGTTTCATATGTACTTCATAGTGACGTATTATCTGCCAGAGATTACAACTAAACCGTACATCCAGGAGGTCTATCTGGGCATATATTGGCTAGCGATGTCCAACAGCATGTACAACCCCATAATTTATTGTTGGATGAATACCAAGTAAGTAATTTCTTGCTTCTCTACTTATAATCATCAGAACGATCGCTTTTTGCTCTGTTGCTTGCAATGATGTGTTTTTTTTTTTTTTCAAATTGTGTCGCATATTGTAACGAAAGATGAATCTCCTCGTAACGCGCCGTCGCGCCGCGCCGGCATCGTAATCCGAGAATTATTTCTTGAATCCTCGTGTGCACGCCGCGCGGGTACAACCAACTTCATGAGATAAGCAAATACGTAGATATAGTATCGACAAATCCTCTCGTCATTTGTTAGCAAAGTTCGCGAAAGTTTCCCTCTTCAACATCTCGGATACCGTGCGGTGCTTCGTACCGTAAGTTTGCCTATCGCGATACGCAAGGACTAACTTAAATTATTCTATGCTAATTAGCGGATCTACACAAATTAAACACGAATCTTCGTTACAAAATATCCGAGTCGCTGTTGAAGTCGCTATACACAGTTACTCGACACGAGTTTTGAGTTTCTATTAACTGTCGTTTATACATCTCATCATATTTTGCTAAAATGTGACACCGTGAATTATGTCGATTTTCAAATTGTATTTGTTAACTCTCAAGTTATCAAGATAAGATATACGGTCGTCAAATGGGATATATATTTATACACAGTGCACACACTTGTAAAGCTATAGAGATCTGTAAAAATAGTTTGGTCGCTTATTACAGTTGTAGCAGCTTTATCTTAAGGCTCTTAATTAAGAAGACTCTCGATTGCCAGCGATCATTTAGCCGTCGTTACCTCGTCGAGAGTGTTTGACGAACTGTCGAGAGTTAATCCAATATAGCACACAGAAGATAAGCTCATCCGACTTTAGAGATACTTCGGAGGAAGGGTGGGATGGGGTGGGGTGGGGATGGGGCGTTGGAAAGAGGAGGGGGAGAATGCCCGAAGTTATTACAGGAACAGGAAGTAACGTCGTTGCCATTAACGCGTTTACACAAACGATCAATTTGAATGCTGAATATCCGCGATAATGGAAACGCGGTCGCGACCAGATCGAGATTCCGATACATGCAAAATAAGCGATTCGTATCGTCATAGAACGGAGCGCTATGGCACCGCAGGGATGTTGTTTTTAAATACGTATTCTCCCCCCCGGCTCGGTGAACGTCGCTGACCGACTGACGTCCATCGAGAAAAGCCGCGCGAATCTTCGGAGAGCAATCGAAATAATTTCGCTTCGCCCGCAAATGGGAATGGGAATGGGAATGAGAGCGTTGTCGAGGAATCGATCGAACCGTCGGCTCGGATCCCCCCCGCGCTTTCCGTTTCCCCGCCAAACCCGCCGCGTACACGTCACACGCAGCGTGCACGTTTTGTTTCTTACTAACATCGGCATTGTCGCTATTTATTGGCCCGCGAAAAAAAAAAAGAATAAATGTAACGTCAAAAACAATAAAATGGAAATGTAATACGTCGGACATTCCGCTACGTGCGGACGATACGGACATCGGCGGGATGAACGCGCGGATTTCAATTTTCCACGTGCTATCGACAGAATATGCCTTGGTCCCATAAATATTCATATACGACACGATACGCCGGTATCATTGTGTTTCCGCGTCCGGACCACGATCTCGTAATGACGGTGAATAATAATAAACAACGGCGCAGCAATAGGGCAGTAATGTAATAATTGGATTACAGCCCACTCTCTTTCTCTCTGTATTGTCCTTGCGAAATTTTTTTGGGCAATCAGGCGATTCCGGTAAAGCATGATTTAAAAAAAAAAAAAATCTTTCTTCTTCCGCGTGTATCGTAAAAAATATATGAGCTGTATATGAGAAAACTTTGCGATCTCTATTTTTCAATTTCTTTCTCTGCAAGAAGTAAAAATGTAAAAATAAATATGTACGTGACACGCGAATTGTGCTCCCCGAGTTGAATGACAGCCGAGATATTTCCCTTAGGAGGATCAGGCTTACTTGGTATAGCATGCATGATTTAAACCATCCTGTTTCCATGGAATATTTTCATAAAGAAGAAGAAAACGAAACTTTGCGATTTATAATGAACAAAGATATAAGGGAACAAAAGTATTAAATTGAAATTACCACGGCATATGGATAATCTTTAATAAATTATAATTGAATAATTGAATTGGATAATCTTGATTCGTTGCTGCCGACACTTATATGTCCAGAATATTTTACGAGTGTAATGCTCATGACCACGAGTATACCTACTTGTATTCTCTAAGCGTATAATAAGAAACAAAGATTATTCGACTCAAAATTATCCATACAATATGGTATAAATTCATCTTGACAGTTTTAAGACTGAATCGCCAACGCTGCTTTGTGCGTCACAGATTCCGCCGTGGCTTCGCCCAGTTCTTCTTCTGGTGTCCGTGGGTGCGGGTGACGGCGGAGCCGTCTCTGTCGCGTTCGGAGGCCGTGACGTCCAGGTACAGCTGCACCGGTAGCCCGGACATGCACAACAGAATATCGCGGAATGGTACGTGCACGTGCTTAACGGAGCACATTTGCACCAGCACCGGCTCCACAACGCCTAGGAGCGAGTCAGAGTCTTATCCCGAGGACACTGACCCAGCCCTGCAGAGGGACGCGCGAGCATCGTCGATAGATTTGCGCCACTTGGTCCCCGACGTCCTCGTCGACGTCGATCGCACCAACGGTGTTGTCGCGACCACCTCGCACTGATCACACCGCGAAGTTACGAGCACAGCTTGTCTCTTCTTTTCCCCGAGCACACCCCGAGTACACGCTCGATTTGGCGGAACGAAAAGACATCGGCTCGTGTTCCTTTTACGTTCGCGACGCGCGTTTAAACTATTCATATACGTCCAACACGGGGCGTAAAGTACAGACGTAAAACCGTCATTCGATATAAAAAATTGTTTGTGCATATAAATAATGAAGATTCGATGCGAGGTGAGAATCGAATATATTTAGCGCTAAATGTGTAGTGCCAGATACGAGCAGTTCCCTTTGCATCCCGCGGTTCGTATTGATCACAATACAGTAAAGTAACCCAGGCGGGAAGTAATAAACACGAAACGAACGTGGAAGTAAACTATGATTGCATGTTTGTTGTTCGTTAACTCACGAAAAATATTTCTCTGCAAGATCAAGAATTAAGCCTTTGATTAGGCAGTCAAGGATAAATTCTCTTAATAAATGCAAAACCTTAGAATTTTTCCATATTTAAGTAATTTACTGCCCAAAAGATTAATTCTTGATAATAAAATATGTGTTAAGAGAAAAATATCTAGTTTAATTTTAGCGCATTGTTTTCTATAGCTTTTTAATTGAGTAGATGTTTTGTTGTTCCCCAATATTGTTATATAAATAACTAATATCATCTTTTCTCTCCATTTATATCTTGAAAGCTCATCTAGTTTATTTTTCACATAAAGCATTTCCATCCCATTGAATTTCAATTAAATAACACACATACATCTGTCACTTTAGTTATGTTATAAGTTAAGTTTTTTAACACATGTTGATTTTAGAATGATTGCACGCAATAAAAAGTAATACTGTTCCTTTTGAGATCCTCGTTTGATTTTTGATACGCGGCAACGAATTCGATTCGACTCGCACGAATTACACCCGAACGCATAACGCATATACGGTTAAACTCAACGTACGGCACGGAACGGCGCTGTTAATCACCGTAGTATAATTGGATATAAGCACGATACGTAGCAATCGATGTATCGATGCAAACAAGCCCTATTTCTAATTCGATAGGCACGGTGCGAATACCGCTGCACCTGCAATCAGTGAGAGGCGGAAACGACCGGCTGTTGGCTCATCATCGCGATCATGGCAAAAAATGGAGGACCTCGCAGACCAGAGGACACGTGTCCTTGCAGGAGGAGGAAAACTCGCAGCAACAACGAGTACACACCTGGATATGAAAATATCTGGATATGAGAATATTTAGGTCACCTTTTAACGCCCGGCTCCTTCCGCCGGTCGACCGACTCGATCGCACCTGCGTTTCCAGCAGCGTCCCGGGAAGGAGCGTTTATCGCCTCATATATAAGCTAGTCCTTGTATAATAGGCCAAAGACGCAATTACTATGTTTCGAGAACTTTAATCGAGTTTCTCTCTCTCTAGTCACGCGCGACGTTAATCGCGCGAAGAGATTATCTGTGTTATTACATTACACGTAATGTAATTTGAAGGAGTAATTATGTTGACTATCACTGAATTATCTCTATCGCCGTATCTTTTATAGTCATTAAAAAAAAATCAACGGACCAAAATATTGTATTTACTGCAGTTTCTTCGTAGTGTATACGCGGTGTTTTTTAAAAGTAAACGCATCAAGATTCGCGATTAATCGATGTTAGAAAAAAATGTAATGTTTACATCTAAGGAATAATGATTTATAACGCGTAATAACATCATCGCGTAATTGTCGTGTTCCTATCGTATGTAATAATTCTTCCAAAGAGAAAACTGATGAATCCAAGACTAAGGCTCTTGTTTAAAAATAAAATATTTCTTCAATCAATAGACTTAAGAATTAAAAGATAAAATTTACATATATTTTATGCTAAGTAAAAAATATAAAACATATATGTATAAAGTTATATATATATATATGTATATATATATATATA